ATGAAGCAGAGGGACACCGGGCCTTTTTTTTGCCGTTTTTCCTCAACTTCAAAAGCGGTGCCACGCTGCATCAAAAATGAAGCAGAGCGGCGCCGGGCCTTTTAGTCAAGCACAGAGACGCCCGTGCCGGAGAGCGTCACCAGCTGGTAGGCCACCAAATGAATGAACAGGTCCGTCATCGTGCCGTCCAGGCCCTTGAAGGTGAACCGGGCAAGGTCGCCCGAGCGGGTGCTGACACCACTCAGCGGCATCTTGGGCACGCGCTCGGTGGGAAAGCCGGCAATGAAGCTGTGGCGCAGGTAGCCACGCGGCCGATGTCGATGTTGCGCACCGTGTCGTCGTAGGTGCCCGCGAGGACGGAGAGGAAGTGGAAGTGCTCCGAGGCTCCCTTCATGGGGTTGTGAGGGTACTGCAGGCTGCCCAGCTGCATCTGAGACTCCAGGAGGCTGTCCTCCTGCCTGGCCGCGCCGATGGAGGCCACGTCCTGCCCCGGGTTGGCCAGGAAGTGGATCTTGGAGCCCGCGTCGTTGTCCCAAAAGGTCACAAACGCGCCCATGAGTTTTGTGATGCGCCACGGTGACGTTGTGCTCCGCCACGCCGTTCGGGACGCTGGACTGCTGCGTGTGCACCGTGGGGTAGCTGAACACCAGGGACCTTCTGAGAGGAGCGCGCGGTTGAAGGACTCTACCAGCGCAGAGTCCAGGACGACCTGGGAGGCCAGAACTCGGACGTTCTGGATCTCAAAGTCGGTGCTCAGCGTGGCGCCGGCCGGGTGCGCCCCGGCGTTCTCGGACCACAGCGCAGTTGTGGCGTCCGCAAACTCAATTTCTATCACCAGGTTCAGCTGCGGCGGCAGCATCTTGCCGCAGCGCAGGATGCCCACCATGGTGGGGCGCAGCAGCACGTCCGCATAGCCGCCCGGTGCACCGCGCAGGCGATGCGGGGGTCGTTCACTTCGTCGAAACCCTCCATGGCCTTGTTGCGGTTGTACTCTCTGCCCTTCAGCAGGTCATGCACGGCCACGGTGCGGCCGTAGTAGTTGATGTCGTCGCAGCGCTGGCCGTTGGCGAAGACCGGGACGCGCTGGACGAAGCAGGCGGGGTTGGGCGTGGCTGGGGCCAGCGGGTTGGTGCCGTCCGTGTTCCTGATGCGGAAGGCGATCTTGATGGACTCGGGGTCGATGAAGGACGTGCCGCTGGTCAGCGGGATGCGGCAGACCCTAGAGGTTGTGGGGGAGAAGGAGCTCAGCGAGCTGGGGAAGTACTGCACGTCATGCCGCGCCGTCACGTAGCTGGTGTTGCTTGGTTTCAGCTTGTAGTCCAGGCTCTGCATCAGCTCATCCTGGGCTCCGGCGGTGACTACCTCCATGCTTGTTTATATACACGCATTTTGACTCGTACGGCGAAGGAAAACTATTCCTCCAGTGCCTACATTGATGTAGGCACTGGAGTAATAGCATTTTTCAGCGCAAAACCGTGCAAAACGAGATATTAGTCCAGGGTCTATATTGATATAGAGCCTAGACTAATGGCTTTTTTTTAGCGCAAAAGCCGTGCAAAACGAGCTATTCTTCCGCCTGGAAGAATAACATTTTGCAGCGCAAAACCGTGCAAACTAGGCAGCCTCAATGTCTCGCGCCAGCTGGTCGAAGCTGGGCGGAGGCAGGCTCCGGCGCCCGGAACTGGAGCTCGCCCGCGAGCTCGGCTGGGACTGGGGCAGGGCCACGGGGTTCAGGCCCCAGGAGAAGGGGCGCGGCGTGTTGTTGGACTGCGCCTGGACGCGGAAGCCGGACTGCGAGGAGGCGCGGCTGCTTGCGGGGCTGCCTGAAGTGCTGCTGCCCGAGCGCAGCGAGAAGTGCTGGGGCTGAGTGGCGTCGTTCATGTTGTTGGCGGACCGCACGTCCTGCACGGCCGCGTCCTCGCTGCCCTGCTGGGGCCGGAAGAGCGTGTTCTCGAGGACCCAGCCCGTGCCGCGGGCCAGGCCGTAGGCAGCGCCGCCTGCGAGTCCCACGGCCAACCCTGCCGTTGCCGCTGCGCCGACTCCCGCCGTGGCAGCCATCGCTCCAGCAACCTCGCCCGCCGTGGGCGCGAGGGCCGCTGCTCCTTCTGCCAGGCCCAGGTACCCGAAGGCCCCGCCCACGCCCTCTGCGGCTACGGCAACCTCGCCCTCCTCCGCAGCCACGGCCGCCGTCTCCTCAACGGCCTGCGCCGCGCCGCGCTCCACCTCCTGCGCGCGCTGGCCCGCCTCGTCCAGGAGGCGCTCCACGTCGCTGGGCCGGCCGATGATCTGCGGAGGCGGCTGCGGCTGCGGCCCTGGGCGGGGCAACACATTTAGGCGGACGTACTCTGCAGCGTCCTGGGGGAGCTGGGAGCGGAAGGCCTGCACCGCCGCGAGTCCTGCTGCTCCTGCGCCCACGAGGTCCGCTGCAGCCTGCGCGCCGTCTGCAGTGCTGCGCAGACGGCCCGTGATGGAGGGCGGTCCCTGCCCGTTGTTCGTCAGCGCGTCGGCCTCCGGGTCTCAAGGTCGTCCTCGCCGAAGCGGTTTCCTCCTTGGCGCATCCGCGCCAAGTCCTCGTCCGTGGCCTCTGCGGGAGTGCGGAAGCCTTCCTCGGGAATTACTTACCGCTCAATTAGTGGCAAGCCACCATTTACCATTTTGCAGTTGCAGTTTCACATTTGGCTCAAACAAGACACCGCAGCCTATGACAAAAAATGGTTCGTGATGAGATTGCGCCTCAAAGGTTGAGCCAAAACGCTTCGTGAAGTTGAGCCAAAAAAAACTCAGCTTGATCAAAAAAAAGGCCTCAGCTTGAGCTCCAAAAACAAGTGCTTCGTGAAGTTGAGCCAAAAAAAGGCTCAGCTTGAGCCAAAAAAATATCAGCTTGAGCCCCCAAAAAAATTCCTTCATGTCTGCAGCAGTTTCCCGAGAAGAGGGAATGTTGTTTGAAAACAAACTTATTGCTCTTTCCCCGACAGGCAAGTTGAGCCAAACAAACGCACCTTCCTGACAGATAGGTCGAACCAATTTCTTGATCAGACAATTGCAACCAAAAACGCCTTTTCCTGGCAGACAGGCTGAACCAAGCAGGTGCCTTGACAGCTTTCCCCAAAAGAAATTGAGCCCAACAGTTCCTGAAATCACGTGTGCCGATATAAAGAAGTTCATGAGCCAACATCAAGACATTTATAATTGTAAGGGTTACAAGATATGATCTAAATCACAATTATTCAGTGATATAGAAACTAAATATTGCAAATATTCACAGTGTTTTGCTCAAACATATCAAATATTCAGAGTATGATATAACTCAAACACCTCAAAATTAAGCGCGTAGTTTGAATTCAAATATGTCATGTGCTAGATTAAGATCATTATTGTTAAGTCTGATTCATTTAGGCCATGTTTTCCACATCTGAATTTATCTCAGGTGTAGCGCCGCAGAACCCTATGTGCAAAATGCATGAGCAAACGACAGCCGGAAAATGAGCAAGCGTGCTGATAACATGTTTTCCTTCAAGTTTAATTCAAGTCCTTGATAAAAGGTTGTTGCGTGATCCTTTCAGCCCGCTCGACACACGTGACTACCACCACAGCTCAGCATTTCGGGAAATCATCCCACAGCGCAAGGCAATGCTCACAAGGATACAACGACACAGGAGCGCCGCAACGATGTAGCCTAGGGCAATCTGGGAGGTCGTGATACTTCCCGGCACATGCACGGATCCTGCGTGGCGAAGCCAGAATGCAGCAATCTTGGCAAGGGCTGATTGCGTGCAAGTCTGGTGTAGGGCTCAGCTGCCCCAACCACACACAATGCAGCGGCCCCAACCACACACAACGGGGATGATGATAGTTCATTGAGTTGTGCATGGCCATGACATCCTTGCCGCCGACTATGCAAGAAGACGCAAGCACCTCATCAAGGCCAGGCTGGTCATCTCTCTGAGAGCTTGCCGGGGCCTCCTTGTCAGCATCATTGTTTGCCGGCTTCTTGAAAATCTGGCTGGCTGGTTTCTTGCAAACCTCTTGGCTTGACAACGCCGCTGGCTTCTTAAAGGCCTCCTTGCGTGCTGGCCTCTTCATCATTGATGAACCTGTAAATGCGATGTTCAGGCTTGACGATCTATGGCGTCGAACTTGAGCAAGGAGGGCTTCAAGCCAGATAGTCACCATGTTTCACAAGTGGCTGCAAGAGTCGCAAACATGAACTGCAAGAGTTCGTGAAAGACTGCAAGAGTCTTATTTTTCTACACCCGTCAGGCCCTGTGACTGCAAGAGTCATTCCATATGAACTGCAAGAGTTGCCGGGCGACTGCAACAAACAACTGTGGCTGCAAGAGCCACCCATATGAACTGGAAGAGTTCATCGGTGGCTGCAAGAGCCACCGAGCGACTGCAAGAGTCGTTCAAAGTTGGTGGCTGCAAGAGTCACCTGCGGCTGCAAGAGTCGCCGAGTCACGCAACTCATGGCAGACTGTAAGAGTCTTCTCTCTCCCACTCTCTCTCACATGATCATGGCTGCAAGAGCTATCAACGCGTTGCATGAAACTCATGGAGTGCTGCAAGAGCATGGCTGCAAAGATGTAAACATGTTTTAAACTCTTTCAGTTGTACCCGTTTCGAACTCTTGCTCGCTGCTTGTTTTGAACTCTTGCAGTTCTATGTGTTTCGAACTCTTGCAGTTCTACATGTTTGGAACTCTTGTTTGCAACTCTTGCCGCAGTTCAGGGTTCAGGTCTGGGTGGTCTTCAGTTTGGATGGTCTGGGTCTTCAGTCACACTGGCCGGCCCCGGCCTCAAGGCGAAGCGATCTGCAAGCCTCAGCAGTTCCAACTGCGCGCGTGTGTCTGTGTGTGTGTGTGAGTGAGTGAGTTGGGTTGGGCATGCATCACGTGTTCTGCTTCTAACACGTGTTAAAACCCACCAGCCGCCCAAGTAACCTTTCGGACTGAAAGATTACTTGGGCGGGTTTTACCTTCAGCAACTGCCGCGCGTCAGCTATCAAAACATTACTTGGGCGTTTTGCCAGCTCATGACATGCCTCGAGTACTACTGGCGGCACTATTCTTGCTGACGCTGGCCCCGGCATGCTGGTGCGCTCCAAGGAAACTGAAGAAGAAAAGTCTTGGGCAAGCAGTTGCGCTGTCTGCGCAGGATTGGCAATCCTGGGCCCAGTTTGTGCTCAATGAGCATGGACCACGGATGTATGTGCTCATCATGCTGACAGGGATGTTTGCCTTGCGTGCTGGAGAAGCTGCAATGCTCAACCGCGAGGATTTGAAGCTGTACATGTCTCCGCCTAGGCTTTGTGTCCCGAAGGAGAAGGGGCGCGGGAAGTCCGCAGGTCACATCCCAATCATGCCAGAGCAAGTTCAACTTTTGCAGACGTGGATTTCGCAGGGAGTGACGTCCTCACGAATGGTGGCTCTCAACCAAAACGGCAAGCGGATGATTACTGAGAAATACGAATTGCCAGCGAAAGGAAGGCTGTTTGCAGGCAGAAAGATGTACAACAACAAAAAGGTGAAGCAAGATCATCTTTCTCACCATGGCGTGTGGTCAGCAGTCAGAAGGCTTGCTAAGAAGTTTTGCACTGCGCATCCGTCCGCGGCGTCAAAGTGGGAGCAGCTAAGGACACACTCCGGCCGCGCCACAAAGATAACTATGATGATGGGAGAAGGCGTCTCGCTGGCCATGAGCATGGAATACGCAAGACACGCGAAGTCTAGCATCAAAACGCATTTGGGCTATGGACGTCTCACCCCCAACCATGTCCACAGTTACCTCATGCAAGAAAGAAGCCGGCAGATTGGGCTGCTGGCAACCATGGTGCAAACCCCGCCATCATCACCGTCAACAAAGACAGTCAAGAAAAGGTGCAGGGGCAAGCAGGCGCTACTACCAAGCCGGGCCACAGACGAGTGCCAAGCCGTGAAGAAAGCGACGCCCTACAGTGCGTTGCAGGACTGCACTTTGAAGGATGTGATGCAGTGGCAGGCGGATGGCAAGCTAACCGACGAAGAGTTTGGCAAAATCAAGGATAGCCTGTTGAAGACCCTGTGAGCGAGAGCGAGAGCCGAAAAATGAAGACTCACAGCGCGCATGAAACAACTCAATGCTGATCACTCAATGCTGATCACTTGCGCAACCCTGCGCTCAGGCGGGCACGGAACGACGGAACTTGTCGTCCGAGCCTCAGGCCTCAGCAGGAACCAGCGGGCTGAAACCATGCGCTCACTTGACAAATGGGCGAACGGTGGCAGCCTTCCTTGTGACACATGTGATGGCTGACGCTGACACTTCATCCTTGGCTCCTGGATGGCAATCAACGCCCTTTGTTTCCTTTGCTTGGCTTTGAGCTGCTGAGGATTCTGACAACTGAGACAATGTCAACTGCCGAATTAGGAGCGGCGGCGCACTTAGAGGGCTGCGTGGGCCCGCCAAAAAAATCATTGCTGCGTTGAATGAAAGTGACGCAGCCTACTTTGCTCCAAAACTGAATTGGCTTGACTGCTTTTTAATGGGGAAATGACCGGCCTTCTCTCGAGCCAGCCGAGGATCATGAAACGATCCAAAAAGGCGCCTTCGGCGCGATTCAGCCATGCGTCCGAAGCCTAATTTCTAAGCCTCGATTCCAGCAGCATCAGCTTCAGTGGATAGCATCTAACAATTGAGCAGGACCCAGTCACGGAGATCACCATTGTCGTCCTCAACATCCTCGTCCTGCTCCCTCACACTGTACTCCCGTGCGGGCCCCAAGGGGTCACCTTCCTGGAAGAACGGCAGGACTTCACCTGAGGGACGGCGCACGCCAAGCAATTGGTGGGGAACGCATATTTGTATGGAAGACATTTGTTCGCCTATTTTTCTGTATTGTGTAAGACACGGGAACCAATGGGTTTTGTTGTAGGCTGAGCCCACCTGGTAAGACGATTAGGTTTGATCGCTGATAGAAACCAGGACGCCATACACTCCAAGTCGCTGACAAAGCAGGCCATCATGAACACACGCGATCTCTGGCTGAAGTTCCCCGAGCGGAAACTCAAGTACACGTTTGCCTGGCCGTAGAGGTCCAGCTGGCCAAAGTAAAGCACAGACCCTTGCGAAAATGCACCGCCATCAAGAAGCAAGACATGACACAAGCCATAAAACTAGGTCAACATTAACAAGCGTTCAAAGCGCCGAAAACTTGACCAGTGCGCCAGGCTTCGGATACCGTCACTGTACACAAGCGCATTCGGGTTGCGCAGCGTCAGGCACAAGTTCCTGATTGTAGCCCCCCTTGTGCACGCAAAGTGATGCAGGTGGAGCCCAGTCATGTCCCAAGTCCAGGCGCCCACTGCGCCGTGGGCCAGAACCCCCGACCTTAGCAATGAATCAAGGTGGCTCACTACAACCCATTTGACATCTCCAAGCCAACTACCTGAAGTATGTTATACTTTAATAATAGCTGAGACGCCGCGTGCGACGGATGAACAGCACCTCCTGCTCTGGCGTGCGCAGCAGCAAAAGCCACTCCGAGTGCCGTCGCGTGCCCCAGTGCATGTACTTGAACACCACGTACTTTGTGAAGAACCCGGCAGGAAGGGTTGGCACAATCTCCATGGCTCACAATGAAAGTGATTTGGCTGCCGCTGCACTACGCTGGTGAATCAACAAAATTGCCTTCGGCGCGCGAAAGGTGAACGATCAACACTTCTCCATCCATGCTCGGGCGAACACACCGTCAAAGTTAGTCAATCAGTGCAGAATTCAATTGGGTGGTCAACGGCAATTTAGGCTCGGACCAGTTTTGCTCAGCAAGCTGCTGAACTCCAGGTTGCCTGAGAACATCAATGATGACAGAGCACAGAATCAATGCTGCCCAACTAAACTGTTTGACTCTTGCAGTCGAAACCAGCTGGGCGCTTGACAGCACCAAAGGGCTGGGATGATGCTGCCTTGCAGAATGGCATGGAACGACGCAAGACACGCAACACCATTCTTTGCATATTGGAGAGATTTGGAGACGCTGATATTTTTTCACGGCTTCTCACGTCTCACGGCCAGGGCTCCACGACGAGGTGCACTCTGAGTCAGAGGGTCAACTGTTTGAAGAGAATATTCAATTCAACTGGGGCCCATCCTTGCAACATGGCTTCCGTTCAGAACAGCCCCCCCCTGACTGGCCAGAACTTATTTGTTGACTTTCAAACTGGCCAGATATTTGGCCAGGTCGCATAGCGAGTATCTGTGTTGCACAGAAGTGAATTGAAAGCATTGGACTGCCCGCGTTGCCTGCCAGCGTTGGACTTGCGCAGCTCAGAAAACTTTAGAACTGCCACGCTGTGTCTGCAGGAGCTGCTCAGCGCTCACATCACCTGAGTCAGCAACTCCAACGCCCCAAGCCATCCGCCAGCCCATGCTAAACTCGGCGTCAGCGAGTGGTGAGCCGTGCCAGCATGCTCACTCACTGAAGAATTCAGCAAAGTCAGCTTGCCGAAGTTTGATCTGCCTGGTTACAGCATTTGCCTGGTTTCAGCTCTGTTCGGCAATCTGACCTATTGATCGGCAACCCAGGCTAACCCCCGCAAGGGAATCAGAACGAGTCGATTCAAAATTCTGAAGCGGCAGTCATAGCCACCAGCGCACACTCAAGGCTCATAGCCACAGTGCTGCACATTCAAAGGTCCTGACAAGCCTGATTCCTACTCAGCAGGATCCTGCCCCTTTGCAACTTTCAGCAGGGCTTGCAACTTCTCAGACAACTGCAGCGGCGGAGGCTTAGCCTTGACCTTCGCTTCACTCTTGGACTTGGCTTTGGCTTTCGCCGCCGCCGTGCCCTCAGCCTTCTCCTCCTTGTCCTTCTTAGGAGGCACCGCCTTTGCCTTAGCCTTGGGCGGGGCATTTGGCAAATCCTGGCCAGCTTCGCGCTTCTCACCTGGCAACGCTGCAGAGGAACACTCAGACTCATCAAGGCCGTAACAACCACAATTAACATGACGCCGCTCGATTTTAGTCCAACGCGCCTCTCTCCTCCTGAACCTCTTTGGCGTAGGCAGCGCAGTACACCTTCGAACTTGGCTCCTCCATGGAACGCAAAACCTCCTTCTTCAACCGGGTGAGGATGAACTCGCGCTGATACTCTGTCTGGCAGATGCCCAAGTACCCGACCTGCTCCAGCACCGCGCTGCACGCCAACTCGCCAGTGCCAGGCGCTAGATCGCAGCAAGAAATCGCACTCAGGGAGTGCAGGAAGCTCTCGCCCACAGCGCTGGGTAGCTGCTGGAAATTGACACACTGCACAATGTCGTCAGGCATGCCCGTGCTTCCTCGGCCTCCACCGACCTTGGGCAGCTCCAGCATAGGCACCACCTCCTGATCCTCCTCTTCATCCGGCTCGTTGTCATCATCATCGCTATCCTCATTGGCACCTTCAGTGCGTCCGCCCACTGCTCGGCGCCTCAATCCCCAGAACTCCTTCTTGTCCTTCATGCGAAGCTTGGGGAGGTTCTGATACGCTTCCAGGGAAAATGGCCCCAGCACGTCCGACATGTTCGTGGCTTCGGGGAAGAACTTGTGCGTCTTGGCTGGGATGCCTAAGTCGGGCTAGACAACAGACAACAGCTGGAAAAGCATGTCTGATTTGATTCTTGCAGCCAACTCTAGACATAACAACAACAACAACAACAACAACAACAACAACAACAACAACAACAACAACAACAACAACAACAACAACAACAATCAACAACAACAACAACAACAACAACAACAACAACAACAACAACAACAACAACAACAACAACAACAACAACAACAACAAAAACAACAACAAACACAACAACAACAACAACAACAACAACAACAACAACAACAACAACAACAACAACAACAACAACAACAACAACAACAACAACAACAACAACAACAACAACAACAACAACAACAACAACAACAACAACAAGTACAAGTACAAGTACAAGTACAAGTACAAGCAACAACCACAACAACAACAACCAACAACAACCAACAACAACCAACAACAACCAACAACAACAACTATCTGGGCACTTCCCCCACCAAACTGGGACCAGCAGGCACTTCCCCCACCAAACTGGGACCAGCAGGGGATCAATCTAGGCACTTCCCCCACCAAACTGGCACCAGCAGGGGCCCCACCAAACTAGCGCCAGCAGATCAATCTGGGCACTTCCCCCACCAAACTGGGACCAGCATTCAATCTGGGCACTTCCCCCACCAAACTGGGATCAGCAGGGGATCAATCTGGCCACTTCCCCCACCCCCCACCAAACTGGGGGGACACTTCCCCCGCCAGGGGATCAATCTGGGCACTTCCCCCACCAAACTGGGACCAGCAGGGGATCAATCTGCCACCAAACTGGGAATAGCAGGGGATGAATCTGGGCACTTCCCCCACCAAACTGGGACCAGCAGGGGATCAATCTGGGCACTTTCCCCACCAAACTGGGACCAGCAGGGGATCAATCTGGGCACTTCCCCCACCAAACTGGGACCAGCAGGGGATCAATCTGGGCACTTCCCCCACCAAACTAGGACCTGCAGGGGATCAATCTGGGCACTTCCCCTACCAAACTGGGACCAGCAAGGAATCAATCTGGGCACTTCCCCCACCAAACTGGGACGAGCAGGGGATCAATCTGGGCACTTCCCCCACCAAACTGGGGGTCAAGCTGGGCACTTCCCCCACGGACCAGCAGGGGACCAATCTGGGCACTTCCCCCACCAAGCTGGGATCAGCAGGGGATCAATCTGGGCACTTCCTCCACCAAAATGGGACCAGCAGGGGATCAATTTACCAAAAATGAAAAAGGTACTTTTTGTCTGCGCTGAAGCCAAAACAAAAGAATTGCCCTGGAGAAGTCTCTATCAAATGGTCTGAGGATTTCATTGGACTTGACGAGAGCTTCTAAAACTGCTCCTGGTCAACGCGTCCTGAAAATGGCTTTTGGGCCCACTAGTTTGGAAGATTTGTATTTTTTAAGGCAGGGCGAGCTTTAGCGAGCCCTGCTAAACGGTAGAGTCTAGGAGCCTTTTTTGGA